AATGGATATCCATGCAGCCAGGCGAAAACCGTACGTTTCTCATGATCAGAGAGAGAGAGCATGTTACATAGTTCAAAACGTTTTTCACTTTTACAGAAGTGCCACTAAGTTCTGCCTCTAAATATTATTAATTTACCAGTAATGCGCATAACTAGATGACCAGCACTCATTTCAAACGAAGAATACTACCTACTGCTCGTCATATACCTTTCATTTTGTGTTAATCTCGTCGGTCTTCGATGTGATTCGTTTCCTCTGCAAATTTTCTTTTCGTTTGGTTATTTCCACGACAATGGTTTGGAAAAAAACCAAGTAATTCATAGCATGAAAAAACAGATTTACATTAACTTCTCTTTGTTTTTTTCCTTTTAAATCCGTGTACATCTAACTCGCTTGACTATAAGCCGGTGAGCACCGCTGAGTCTGTGTACTCCTGTCTGCAATTTGGTTGTGAAGATAAATTTTGCCACCTACGAATTACATTCTAATTTCTTTGAAGAAAGTCCTTGTGTCAATCATGGATTTTTTCTGAAATTATTTGAAGGTTATACATGGAAACACTAACTTCTATGGTGTGGTCGCAAGGGACTTGAACCCTATGGTCAACGCTCGATATCTTCGTATCAATCCTCAATACTGGAATGGCTGGCCTTGTCTAAGGACCGACTTCATGGGATGTTCTGCGGATGAAGGTAATGGTATGCTACAATCCTACTCAACACTGTTGTATATATACCAGACACTTGTGGTCATTGTGCCATGACGTGTTCTGTAAACCATGAAGATCAACAGTGCAATGTCTTATGAGTTGAAGTAGGAAGACTGAAGATGGCGCAAACATGGGTCCCGAAGTCAAATAACCATTCTGTTTTAACATGTTTCTTTATGTTCGTTTTGACAGTAAGGCCAACTGCCCCTTCACCGATAAAGTCATACAACCTTGACTTTTGTCTGACTCCATCAAGCAAGAGTTGTTCCCCACGTGACAACGACCCCATCATATTTGTAACCGGTAGCAGGTGCTCAGAGAGACATTTTCAATTCACGCGTGGCAAAGACGGATTGTTACGCCACGCTTGCAGTGGGAAATTGGTCTGTCCCGAAAATGGCGGGACGCATAATGGTGCAAAGATTGTTGTCAGCAGGACTTGTAAAGTTGCAGACTCGAAATTTCTACGAGTCGTAGGTAAGTCCAAAGAAATTTATATTACCTCTTAATTGTCCAGCTCTCGAACTGATAATGCATTCAACAATCAAAGAGGTACATATATTCACCTAATTAATAAATTGGAAAAGATATATTTGGATCGTAGGGTAATGTGGTTTCCATCAATGTTCGTGTTTCTTGGGGTTACAGTTCTGTTAGTTTCGTACTCTGGAGGGGGGAAGGCTGGAGGAATCCTTACGAAAATTGTATTGGGTGTTTGCCAGAGTGGAATTAAAATCGTGATTCTCACTGAGCCAAAACCCATTAATTTCGCTTCCCAGTTTAAGACAAAAAGTTTTAAGACAGTTTTATAAACAGTTGCCTCGTGTACGGCTACAGAACTCAGGTTTCCAACATTTCATGAAATCCCTAGAAATAGTCACTTTCCACGAAAATTTTCACCGCTTATCAACCTGAAGGTATTTCAATTAAACTTCATTTGGTTTTTTTCTTTTTCTGATGGCTAGTTCTTTTGTTTTTTTGTTTACTTAATAGGGCGATCTTTAAAGCACGCCAAATCTGGCAGATGTATCCATACCTCTGGAGCCTGGCCAGGAAACGGGAGACAGATGGTACTGTGGTCTGGATGCGAAGAGCAAAGGCTACAACTGTTTTTCGGGAAACAAGGTACAATTTTTTGCCCCTTATCACACCTTTTAGGTATAAGTTCGAGAAAAGCGGTGGCCTCGTGTTTAATACAACGGTATATAGAAAAGGTCCTCTTTCAAGCCCTGGGTGGGCCCTCTTTTGCTGTGTGGGAGAGATACTGGTCCTTCTTGGCGCCTTACACCCTATACATAGCATCCAATTTTTTTCAAGAACTTAAATTCGAGTTAAGAAAATTGGTATATACTTTCCTTTCAATATAGTACATAGTTATAAATCATATACTTATAGATTGTGTGGAGCCACTTGGAATGCAGAACGGTGAAATCAAAGACCGCCAGATTACTGCTTCCTCGGTGAGAGCTGAGGAATTCGCCAAGTATGCAAGGCTGAAAGGAAAAAAATACTGGTGTGCCAAAGCCAAAAGCAAAACCGAATATCTACAAGTTGATCTGGGAAAGGTACGTTTTGATAGTAGATAAGAATAGTCGGATAGTTTGTGAACAATACAAAAACAGAATATAAGGAAAGATAGTAAGAAGCTTACTCAGCACAAGCGCCTTAGTAAATTAAATTTATTGCCCTTTACAATATCGTAAGGAAACTCATGATTTAGTTCTTGTTTAAACGTTTTGAGGAGATCTACCTTAACATAACTGATCATCCTTAAACATTTTTAACTAAGCTGTTTCATTAATGTATGGTCTTTTCTATATTGCCTTTTCGTCTTTTTAAAATTATAGGTTAAAACCGTCAGTAAAATCTTGATGCAAGGACGTGGAAACTGGTACGACTGGGTGACCGGCTTCTTCTTACACTACAGTTCTGATGGCCGGCGGTGGAAAACGTATGCTCAGAGTGGTGACGAAAAAAAATCCGATGTAAGCTAAGGATGTAATCACTCACAATTAGTTGTCTTTCTATTTTTAAAAACCGCCCTCATTTTCTTTCCTATCTCAGTCCTTCTGTTACCTTGGAAAGTGCAGCGAAACTCTTGACACTCAGTGTAAGGACTTATGGGGAGCTAGTAAGTAAATGTGCCCATTTTTTTTCTTCTTTTATGTTATCTAGCGTTTTGATACCACATTAGTTGCCTTTACTTCAATTTATCAAATATTATTTAAGTATTTGTATGTTATCTACAATCCTTTTAAGTTGCCAATTCAATTTTTCTTTCCTAAATAAAGGGGTCTTTCTTCGAGGTACATGAATTATTTCAAACATGACGTTTTTTAGTTAAATACTAAAATAGACGACACTACGAATACACCCGACAGGAGCTAGACCAAAAACCATCCAATGAGAAAATTTGGATGCTAAAAACCTCTAGGTTCAATTATTATTAATTGACGTGTTTCTGCGCTCCGACGGGGGGCTAACTCTCGAAACGTCAGCTTTAGAAACTCTCTACCGGTAGCCAATTTACAGTATCAACTCAGTCGATAAAAACAAATTACCTTGTTTTAACCTTAACGACGCAGTACCACTGTTTCTACAAAAAAATACCCTCCTTACTCATTTAATACTAACTCGATCTATTGCAGCCGCCAAAAACGCTGACCAAGGATGCTATGACAAGCTGAACACTGAGGCTAGAGGATATGGTACATGTGATCCAAACACCAAAAAGAGATGTGCTGCAAGGTACATGACATTCTTTTTAGTCAGCTTATCAAGAGTACTTTACAAACTACAAAAAGAGCGCTCGATAAACAGCCAAAAGAAGATGACATAACTCTTTGTTTTACATATTGAAGCATCTTAAGGTTTTATTAAAAAAGCGATTTCGTTTCATGAGCAAAAAAGATGAAAAATGTCTAATTTAACCATTAACAAGAGTCTTCAAGCTCGACCTATGAAGGATTTCATTTAAGTCCTTTTAACTGGTAAATAAAGTTTCTTACGTTCTGTGTAAGGAGGTGTTTTAAGTACTTAGCTCAGCAGCAACTAATCAATATATTTTCTCGAAGCGATGTTTTATGCGGCCAGCTGCAATGTGAAGCGGACGAAAGCAGAAAAAAACCTGTTGTTGACTATGGACGGGCCAGAGACAAAAAAATAATTTTGCCTTCCGGGAAAAAATGCAAGTTAGTATTACTTTCTTTTTGTTTCTCTGAGGAAAAGGGGTCAACATATAAAGTGCCTATCGTAAGCTAGATAATAAGGAAGAGTTTCAAAACGCGAGACTCGTGGTATTTGACTTTGACTTTGCAATTTGACTCTTAGGAATTTCTTTTTTCGAGTAAATCCATATTTAAACTTCCATTAGATGCCTTCTGTTCAATTCCCTTACCTGTCTTTGGAAACGAAACCATTAAAACTAACGATTGACAAAAAAAAACTGTTTTATCTCTCTTGGATCATATTTTCAAGTAATGCCAAAACACGTAGTCAAATGCGGTTTTACTTCACACAGTGCTGTACAACTGAAAGGTGGTGACAGTATTGGACTGGGAATGGTAAGAGATGGAACGAAATGTGGACGCAATAAGGTAGGATACCATTGCCCTCTTTTTAATACCCTTCCCGGATTCGTCCTGTCATGCAGGCTGTTAATTAATATCCAAACACAATCTCAAACACTTAGAACGTTCCTGTTTCATAAATACAAAGCTGTTTGGCAAAAAAGCCGACCCCTGTCATACTCCGTGTTTGCCCCGCTACATCTCACATTAGGGAACATTTTTCTTTACAATCAATTCATCGTAAGAAGAGTATGGAAGAACGTCAACCATTAGGTCACAAGAGTTCTAGTTAGAAGAGTTCCATGTTAAAAAGATTACTAGAACATGGAGAATATAATTTTAGAAAAATAAGTTCTGGGTTAATACTTGGTGAAGAGTACTTTCGGTGTCCTTCTAAGAACAAATGTGAGTCTGTTATCTCATGTCCATCCAACCTCCGCACTATTCCACCTCTCCACAATACGCTGTCTGTCTATATAAATACACTGTGAACCCTCTTTCCGGGTTATCATGTTTACCTTGGTCCTAAAGTTTACTCCTGTCTATGTCTGTTTAAGATGTGTATCAATAACAAGTGCCAGTCACTAAGTTCTCTCAATCTGGTTGGCAAGTGTCCAGTGGTCGGCAACAAAGAGTGTGCGGGAAGAGGGGTAAGTAATTCTTAATGTTGAGTTCGTGAGAAGCATAAAAAAAGGAGCTAATATTTCCAGGTTTTGCCGGGAAATTCTACGCATTTAAAGGTTTACACCATTGTGCAAGGGAAATTCAATTTTTGTTCCCAGTTAACTGTATGTAATTTGCATGGAATGAAAAGCTATCAGAAAAAAACAATAATCATGTGGATTCTTAACGAACTGATATTTGTTATTGACTCGGGCATCATTCGCAGAATTTTTTCTGTTTCTGACTTGGAAGCTCTGTTAATAAGAGCTTGCCTAGTTAAGTTATTGACATAAGATATTAAGATGTCTCTTTGAGAAGTGAACTCAATGTGATTGAATGAAAAGCAGTGCAATGTGAATTCGAATGTATAGGTGTAACTTGAATCAAGAAATTTCACTGGTCATAAAGAATTTTCTCACTCAAATTTTAATCATTACAAAATGTTTCTAGGTCTGCACTAATAAAAAGGTTTGCCACTGCCAAGGAGGATTTAATCCCAGAAACGGTTGTACGTCAGGTGAGAGTCCAGGGTTTTTTCTATGATATTCAGATTTTCTTTTCTTAGTGAGAGATATCTGCTAATATCTCTTGCGCTTCGAACTTCCTTGTGCAGAACTGACTCCACGTGACGGAGCCTGGGGTGAGTGGTCCCCTGGTTTTATTTATATGACCCAGATCTCAGATAGGGTGTAAAGCAGATGGAAGCAAAGCAATTTGACATTTTAAATCATATCAATATACAAATGAGCGAGCGAAACTACAGAGAAAGACGCGACGCTTCCAAACATGACTGTCATCAAGCATCGCCATCTCCAAAATCCGACCGAACGGATTGTTATCTCCAAAAGGCCAGTTTTTCATCTATTATACAGTCGTGATTCTTATATATAAGAATCTCTGAATTCAATATATTATCATTTGCGTGCGGCCACCAAAATTTGGCAGACTGTCCATGTGCGAAACCGATAAAGCCAAGATTTTCCTGAAAAAAGTTTATGATTTGCTGTATTTTGCAAAATAAACAAACCCAGTCTGATTATTCAGAGGACTACCCTTAAACTGAATTCCTTATAAAATTAAAGCTGTGAGGTAATGGCAACAAGAATGGCAAGTATTGGGCATTGAATGCTCATTGCGAAAAGTCTGCCTACTACGTGTCTAAGAACTGCCGTAAGAATTGCAATTTTTGTTTCGGTATTATGACCACTCAGTGAAAACTTTAAAATAGAGTGATTAGAAGTTGAAACGTTCTGATAATGTTTTATTGCTGTAACATTTGATTGTAATACGATAACTATGACTTGACGAGTCTAACTAACGTCACTAGAATAGTAAAGCAGACATTAAGAAGAACTACTAATGAGATCTTGGAAGTAAAAATATATATGTGGAACTATTTTTTTCCCTTGGTAACAGGTGAAGAGAATCCCGAACACTCAGGAGGAGGAGGAGAATCTGGAGATGATGAAGACGATATGAGGGAGGAAGACGATGAGATGGAAGAAGAATATGAAGACGACGAAAAAGTTGGAAAATATGAGGAGGAAGATCACGAAGAATACCAAGAAGTGTTCTTTGGCGATAAGTAAACATTTCTGCTCTATCATCAACGTGGTAACTAATCTCGTTGGCAATTCTTATCCAAGAAGCTAATCAACTGAAGTTTTAGAAACAGGCTTTAGTCTTATTTATCCAATAGTATGTTAGAATTCATTGTTGTATCGTGTAATCATGACTTTTTTAATAACGATGTAATCTGCTCTGCTTCAGTAGCCAGGGCTGTGGTGCAAAGCTTTAAACATTTTTGGGGTTATATCTTTATTAGTAATAAGGGCTATATCTTGACCGTAATCTTGATGTGGAGTTGGAAATTCTTATGCAAGGAGCTAATCAACTGATGTTTTAGAATAAGCTTTAGTCTTACTTATCCAATGGTTTTTCGGAATTTATTGTTGTATCGTGTAATCATGACCTTTTTTAATTACGATGTAATCTGCTCCGCTTCAGCAGCCAAGGCTGTAGTGCAAAGCTTTAAACATTTTGAAGTAGAAATATCTTTACAAGTATTCAGGGTTTAATCTTAACTGTAATCTTGGTATGGAGTTGGAAACTTTTATTCAAGAAGCTAACCAACTGATGTTTTAGAACAAGCTTTAGTCTTATTTATTCAATAGTATGTTAGAATTTATTGTTGTATCGTGTAATCATGACTTTTTTTAATTACGATGTAATCTGCTCCGCCTTTAGTAGCCAAGTGTTTTTGGGGTTATATCTTCTCTAGAATTCAGGGTTACATCTTTACTCTACTCTTGGTATGGAGTTGGAAATTTGTATTAACTGACGTTTCAGAACAAGTTTTCTTCTTATTTATCCAATAGTATGTTAGAATTTATTGTTGTATCGTGTAATCATGACCTTTTTAACTACGATGTAATCTGCTCCGCTTCAGTAGCCAAGGTTGTAGTGAAAGCTTTAAACATTTTTGGGGTTATGTCTTCTCTAGTATTCAGGGCTATATCGTGACCGTAATCTTGGTGTGGAGTTGGAAATTCGTAAGCAAGGAGCTAATCAACTGATGTTTTAGGACAAGCTTTAGTCTTAATTATCCAATGGTTTTTTTGGAATTTATT